ACACACACACACACACACACACACACACACACACACGCACGCACACGCACACGAAAAGAAATTTAGTATTTCATGTTCCATGCCTTTTGCTGTCAGAGGCCAACCTTCATTTAACCATAATTTTTTCACACTGATTTGGTTGTCTAAAAATATAAAATGTATCACTTACTAGAACACTGTCCCAAAACTACTATAATTTATCTAGCTTTTGAAGTAAGCTATAAATAGTTTAAAAAATTGTTAGCTGCTAAGATTTGAACAACAATGATCACAAAGAATCTAAGGCAAAATTTCGACACATGCCTGCCAAAAGGAAATGACTAAGCTTTATGCAAAGGAAAGTATTCTATTTCTGTTGATTATACTCATCCATTAGCTGTGTAGAGATGATGCTTCTCTGGTGGGTTTGGCAAATTTATTAATATTTCAGCAAATCAAGAAGGTATGAGATTTGAATATTTTATTCTTGCTTATAATTTTGAATAGTTTGCTTCTAATTGGTTGGACACTGAAAGCAATATTATTGGCAATATAAAATATAAAGGGTAGAATTCAGAGCTAAGGTGCATCATATTATGCAGAATAGTGAGGGTTAAGAATTTTTAGGATGTTTCCTTTTGAAATTAAGAAATTAACTTACAGTATGGAAAGTTTAAATTATAAACTATTTATTGACATGCTAAGTTTATTGACATACTTTGATAATAGTTATTTGATTAAATTTTGAATATTATTTTCTAAAAGGTCATGACATGTACACTTTGACCCAGCCATATGCATAGGATAAATGGTGTACACTTTTCACCCATTTGATTAGAATTGTATGTAGTATAATTTTTTTTTACTTGGACATTATTCTTATAGGGTTAAATAATTAGATAGATCCTGAATTGGACAGTTACATGACCTGATGAAAATTGGTGGGAGCAGGTATACAACAAAATTCTCAATTGTTTTCAATAATTAAGGAATTTTTGTTACAAAAAAAATTAGAAATGTAGTAATTGTCACAAATTCCAAAATTATTTTCAGTCTCGAGTTATGTTGTATGTAATGGGTAAAATTGTGGGACTTGGAAATTTCAGAGGTACAGGAAATCAGACAATACCTTTGTAACTTTGTGTACTTTTCTTCAGAAAAATGGATGAAATGTCCATATTGGGCTTTTAAAGACTGTATATGATTAATTGGAAATGTGCACTAGTGGAAACTGATTTGTAGAATTATATATATATATATATATATGTTTTATGAAGTAACCAGCTTGCATGTTGACTGGTTTTTAATTGTGATGATTAGAACTTTTGTTCTTTGAACATAAATCCAATGTTTATTGATCATCCTAGTAGTAATTATGAATATTTGATGACCCAAAATGGTCTGTATTGTACCAGAAAACATGTAGACCCCTCTGGCTGAACCCTTTGTCTTTATTATTTGGGATCTAAGACTAATCAAAAGTTTGATTTGCTGTTATAATTCTTGTATATTGTTTCAAAGCCACTAAAGCAAGTTTGATTTCACTGTAGTCCTTTAAAAAATACAAGATAAAGTTGTATAAACTCCACATACCCAAATTGGAAATGTAATTTAAAATAAATGTCCACAAGAAATTATCAAGGCCATTGCACAAAACAACTTTGAACTAACGAGAAACGTGTTTTCACCTAATTCTTCCTACCAAGAATTGTTTTGATGAGTCCCCTATGCTCATTAACCTTTGAACCGATGCCCCATACTCTATAGGATTCATTACCTCTTATATTTGCATGTTGTTGGGGAAAGGGGTTGGAAGTTCTGAAGCTTAACAAATTGGTAGAATATGAGTTTGCTACTTTATTAGAATTAGTATCTTTACATCCATCAGTACTTGTCAAAGATATATAATTTGATTAGTATGTCCTTGTAGCAGGTTAAGAAAATACAAGCTTTATTTTACATGTATCCTTAGCTTAACCAAGCAATATTTTGATTTTTAATATAACTTATAAAAATAGGGTGTTTTAGGCATTTTACTGGTAAGTGGCCTAAAAATGTACAGCATTAAGACTGGAGTAAAAAAATACAAGAGATAATGGTTACAAAAGTTAAGATTTAAATCTTAGTGCTCTGTTACTAGTAAGCTGTAAAATATGTCTACATAGCTTGAAGCAGATGTGATTGTTAGATTCAGGTAGCATTTTGATTTAAATAATAATAATTAGAATATATACTGAAAATTCAGAGATTCCAAATGTTTAATTACACTGAAAACAAAACATGATTTCAAAAATTTCCATGGACGTGGAAATATAGTGTCCATGGAAGTATTATAAAATGGTAATTTAGAAAGCACAGTTACAGGAAAAAACATTCAAAAAGAAAAGAGGAAGATTTGCATATGACTCATGAAGATGAGAAATTATATATATATGAAATATTTGAACTTTTTTACCAAAAGTAATTAGCTGGATTGATTATTGAAATAGTACTTTTAAATTATTTCTTTCTGGTTGTTTTAAACAGATCAACAGAAAAATGTTTCAGTGAGTGGTGAGTTCTTTAAAGTGGATGTTGGGAAAAATTATCTGTGCAAGAAGGCTGATGAAATACAGTTCAATACAAATGTGATGATGACAGTGTCCAACCTTCAGCTGGAATCATTTAGGACAGATAATAATACAGTCTTTACCAGTGGTAAGTGTAAATTTTTTTGACAGGCCTTTATCACTATTGCCTCCAGTGGCTCAGCAGTAAGTTTCTGAGTTTATAATGTTAAAATTGGGTTTCAAGGCACTGCACAAATAGTCCATTATGCAACTTTATACTTAACAATGAATAAACTTTTATGACTAATGCTTGACATTTAAATCAACAAATATATGTAGATTTTATATATAAAAGCTACAATGACCTAATTTTTTTTTATCAAAACAGTAATAGTGCATTATATTGGTGAGCTACTATTTTATCAATGACACAAGGTTTACTTATCACAAAAAAACTTCAAAATTGTCAGAATGAAGTTTTTTTTTACATTTATAGTTTTTTACCATATGTTAATTTAGTTTTTGACTGCATTAACTTGCTAACATATTGCTTAAAAACATTTTATGTTGATTAATTTTTCTCCAGTTGTCTTTGTTCCAGCAAGAATGTTAAAATCTGAGTAATTGCATGTAAGTTTCACAGTATTTAACTATGTATCTGAGCAACTTTTATTTCTGTATAAGCATTATTGTTTTGTATCAAAATTGAGAGATAGATTTGTATAGAATATCCTACAGTTCTTTTTCAGTACTTGTTGGAAAATAGTTTTCTACAGATGAAAGAAAAACTGGCATTGTACACATTTGTTTTGTAGTGTAAAATGGGCAAAATTTTAAAATTTATGAAATGTTATTTCACACACAGAATGATGGACTTTATACTAGTTTTATATAACTTTAGATTGTTAACTATAGGTCAAACCTAAAGTGTTTGAAAAAAAACTATAACCAAATTATTTTTTATACAGTTGTCAAAACCTCATCACCAAAAAATTATTCTCCATTATCATTGTTTAAAAAGCAAAACCAAAATTTCCTATTTGTTAGTCACATGTGTAGTAGAGGTTAAGTTCAACCTGGAGAACTTTGCATGCTTTTCAAGATGATACTTTCATTTGTTTTTAGATTCATGGGAATGTGATGCTGATAACCAGGTTAGTGACATTGTCCCAATTGCTGTTGGCTGTGCTCTGGCTGGAATGGTGGTTATTGTACTCATTGCTTACTTAGTTGGTCGTCACCGTAACCGTCAGAAGGGATACCAGTCAGTGTAATACACAAAAAGTTTGTCAGTGCTTGCTCTACTAGGTACACCTGTTAAATGTATCATTTCTGTTTCTTATGAATCTTCTTAAATAAAGTGCACACTTTTTTTTTTTCATAAAATTATTTTATGTCCAAAATATCAAAAAATGGTTGAATCAGTATATTTAGCTAAATGTTTTATATAGCTTAGTGTGATCTAAGTTTAATTTGCTAGTGTTTTTTAGTTCTGTAACTATAGTTAATGAGTAACATTTTAATTGATTTTTTCAGCATTCCATTTTTTAATATATTATCTGATTGATGTAGTTAACAGTTTCCATGAATAATGTAACACTTGTTAAATTTTGTTCTAAAACATAGACTTCTATTAGTTTTTCTTTCATAGATTAGATACATAGTTTACTAACTAGCTGTTATTGGAACTGTAAAAAAATTTACATTTCTTGTTTTCTGTAATCTTTTGTGAATTTTTTATTACTTTCTTATTTGCACACCATACATGATTTACCTTGATTGTCCAAGTAAAGTAATTCTGTATTTGATATGCAGTGCAATTTTTTGTAAGATTGAAAACAATTGACAAGGAGTTTAACATTACTGTGATAGGAAAAAGTGTTAAAGTTTCTTTGGGTGTGATTTTGATTAAGTAGGATATCTCATGTACATATGTATTGAGTTACACCAAATCTGAACCATTGTACAACTTGAAAATACTGTGCAATTGATAAAGTAGCATTGTGTTTATTATCATCCTTAGGTTTTGTGCTGATTAAGATATGAACGAGCTATGATTTTCATTGAATTGTTCTAGAAGTTCATAATGATAATTGTACAATATTAGTGGAGGGAATTACGGCCTGACAAAATTATGTACTTTTCACTTTCCAGTTTAGATTTAAGCATGTTTGCTTGACAAGGCTAGATTGGTTTTCAAAATTTCGTTGAGTTGCTGAAATGTCTTGAATAATAGTTACTGCTTTTAGTTCTAGAGATGTTTTTTAATCAGAAAAGTCTGTAACCACACTTGCGAAAATTTTGTTTTTGGCTTTATATGCTGTTAAAGGTTAACAGAAGTATTTAAAGTAGTTTTTGTCCCCAGCTTGCAATAAGTTTTGGTTTTGTTTGTTAATGAAATGTTACTACAAAAAAGCGAGATAATGCTTTTGATATTTATTAAAGGAAACATTTTACGTAAAAAAAACCTGTATCACATTTATTAAAAGACTCAAGAAATACTATTTTAATGATTAAACGAAATGTAAAGTTGGAATGAAAAGTATTTTGAACCTTGAAAGTACAAAGTACAAGCACTTAAACATCCCCAAAGTGAATCTTAAATTTAAGAAAAACAATTTTTTAAATTAAAACTAAGGCTTACAAGTGTCTCAGGTACTGGATAGAAAAGGTTTGTTTATAAGGGACTACTTATTAAATTATTATCAACATTACAGAGTATATAAACAGGACTGAGTATATTTCGGTGATATAAAATAGCATGTTATTGTTGTGTAGATTTTTTAGCAGTGTAGGTGGGATGCACCAAACAAAAAAATAAAATATTTGGCTATATATATATATGTCTTGAGAACTTGTTTGGCTATAACTGTTACTTTAGTTTTAACTTTTGTATCAACAGTACATATTTTTTTTTTCCCTAATGTAACACATCGTATACTAGTTTGAAGATCGGTGGTGAGAACTGAGACCCTAAAGAGAAAAAAATATTTACTTGTGTTTTAAATTTGTTGTGTCGTGCATATTTTCGGTCTGTTTTGGTCAATATCCTGACTGCAATTAGTGTATAACAAATTCGTGTTTATGTGTAATACGAACACTCCATTATTTTGTGAAGCTGGCAATCAGTTAAAACGTTCTGAAGAATTCGTTCCCCTCATTGGTGATTGAAATCTGCTCATGTGATCTCACGTGACAGCGACTTGTGTAACAATAGTTTGAGTAGGGCCAGTGACCGAAATAAGCTTGCAAGAACCGTGTTTGTTAACTGTTAGTAATAGTGGTTATAAACAAACAGTGCACTGGACAACAATCAACTGTTTTCCGATATATAGATAGCACCAGTTGAGAAGCTGTTAGTCACCAATTTTAATGTAAAAACATAGCACAAACATTTAAGCGTTAACTGACAATAAAACAAAACATGATAGACGGTGTTAGGGTTATATCCTTCGCATATAATTTTTCAAGTTAGGTCTTTGATCCAAACCCCCACCCCTTCTTTTTTTTTTTTACGTTGACTTGGATAACCCTTTGTTGTCTAAGTAGCTTTATCAACGACGCGAAGTACGGCAGTGACCCGACTCGGCTGGCAAGGTGCCATTCACATAGTTATGTAAAATATCTAACAAGTGTGTATATGATTACAGAGACTGTTAAAGAGCCAACAAAATACTTAAGTTGATAGTAAATAAGCAATTTAACAGAGCCCGTTGCTGTTTCATAATCTGTACAAAAACTTGGTATTGTGAACGTAGCATAAAAACAAACTGAACACAAGAAAATGTATTTATTAAACATAAAATTTGTTGCGAAATGGGAAAATTTTAAATACGAATGAATTATTTTGAGTATTGTAACAGAAAGCCATACCGATGAACGAAAACACTGGTCGTGGAGATATAAAAAAAATTGCATATTCGATCCCAATTAAAGGGGGGGGGGATAATGGGAGCAGGCCGCTGTACATCTCGGAGGAGGCTTGTCAAGTTTGGAATTAGCTACTGTTAGTCTAAGGATGCGCTTGGGAACAGTCTTTACCGATTCTAGAGTTCTCGTATATTTACTTATTTGTGCTTCGTCTTGTATTATACATGAGGAAAGGTGGAGAGAAACAGTTTTGTTTACGGATTAATTAACACAAGTATCACATTGAAGTTCTTATAATAGTCATTAAATATTTTCGTGAGTAAATAAAAAAAAAAAAGAATTCTTTCTGGTACTTTGCTGAAAAGGGTCGTGCGAGGCCTGGTGGTTAATACCCCGACTGTGACTTCGAGTTAATAATTCACAACCTGTTGCTGCAAAAACGCGTTCCGCATTATCGTGCCGTTTGTACGTTATAAGAGTGACTGTCAAATCATACTAGTTAAATTCAGAAAGGAGTAGTCCAAATGCTGGCGTTGTGGATGCTGTTGACTGTAGCTGCCTTCTTTCTATCATTCAAGATTAGTTATGGCTATGCACAAATAATGCTTGTGTAACTTCGCGCTAATTTCCGAAACAAACTGTACTTTGAAAAACCAGAGATTATTCTATTAAATCGTTTTTGAATATATACTGATATTTTCTAGTGTTCGCAAAACTATTTATATATTTTTTCTGCCCTTAAAGAAAGCCGAAAAACAAGTTGGTACTTTGTTGAAACAATTCAAGTTGCTCAATCGTTTTAACCAAAAATGTTAAACATTTGACGCCACAGTCAGTAACGATTGTCATAACTTATTATTGGATTTTTCTAACTATAAAGCCAATCTGAGGGTCGCGAGTTCTATTCCCATCACCAAACATGACTTTTCAGCCGTAGGGGCGTTATAATATGGCAGTAAATTCCACTATTTGTTTGTAAGAGTACCTCAAAAGATGGCGCTGTTGACTGGCTGCCTTATTTATATCACTTTGAAATTTGGAACTGCTAGCGCAGGTAGCCCGCGAGTAGCTTTGCGCGAAATTCAAAACAAACCATAAAGCCTTTGTAAGATACTATTGAAAGTGTTTGTTCAGTCTAAAACCAAAAATGTAAAAAATACTTTGATAAAGCTCAGAAATTCGTAAAGGAATATAACAGAGGGAATGAGATTCTTGGTAACGGTTACATGATACGAAATAAGGTGAACTTCTTATAATTCACCAATTTCATATTTATCACGAAAATAACATATACACGTTTATTGATAATTATATGTGCTTAAAATGATAAAAGTTTATGAAATAATATGTGTTTCACCAGGAAGAGAGAAGTTTGTATGTTGAACATAATAGTATGTGGCACAAAAGCTAGACGACCAGGTTAAATATCTTAAGGGTTCAGACATACATTCCTAATTTAGAACCGATGGACAGAGAGATGACAGACACTTGGCAATATCCACTGTCTATGTAAATAGTCTTAACCGAATTGCAGTTGTCACAGTTATAACGCCCCCACAAGTGAAACTTTCGCTGTGAACCTGCTTCAGACAATCCTGTTAATTAATTATATCGGTTCAGAGAGCCGACTTTGGTCAGTAGTTACAAATTAGGGACCAGATTGCAAGGAGTCTTGGTCCTGGCAGCATAGTCCTTGTGCTTCATAACATACCGTTGAGATTGAAAATTTAAACCCAATTACGATTCGAACCATGGACCTTTCGAGACACAGCATGGCATAATAAGTACCAGCCCAGTTTTTGAAACTTTATCATAAATATATATTAGTCAACTCATTTGATTTGATGCTGTAGGTGTACTTGGAGAAGGAATGACTTCGTACCAGAGTCATGATTGCTTGGTTTGAACCATGCATATGCCAATATATAGTATTCACATATGAAAAAACATACTGTTTGTAAAGTCTTATAAGACTTAGACCTAATGCGGGATATGTCACCCACGACACCCACATATAAATACGTACATGAAATGGCCTTGGACTGGTCCAAAGTTCATCGTAATTGACAGTTTTCAAATGGTATATTGGTGATCACCCTATAACAAGTTTATGTCTCAAAGTGAGAATGAAATTAATGACGTCAGTAGAAACGAAAATAAGGCCCGTCTTGTTTTTAAATTAAAGCCGTTAAACTTACGAAGAGGAACGAAACCCCGAAGATACATCATCGCCTACGACATGTTTTTAACTTGTCAAACAGGAGACATGAACTTGTTTTCGTTAATAGTTTTTTCGTAATTATGTACCACAGTTATTCCCTTTCGAAGTCCCAAAGTACACGTGAACATTAGTGATTTGTCATCTAAAAAAGATGTGTTTAACATTAGCACCAGCTAGATGGTTTCGGAATAGCATCTTATGAACACTAAAATGATAGGATGAAAGCATAAATTGAAATCATAAGTGGCGAATTTTAAATAATATCATCACTGCAAAATGAATACCAACAGATATATAAAAATCATCATCGTTTTTGCATCGTTATCACTATAAAGTGAAAAAAAAAGCGTCTTTCGGAAAATTCTTGACCGATATTTTTTACTAACGCAATATTACCCTCATAATAGAAAAAAACTTTACGTTTTTACCAGTAGTATTATAAGCATTTAAGTGTATGACAGTATAACTATACGGATTAAGCATTTATAATTTCTTTACTTATTTATTTGTACCAAGCACAATTCAAACAAACAACTTATCTTATTTCTTTGTAGGTTCCATAGGATATTAACCTGAATTAGTTTGAATATAGTTTCCGACAACAAAGATGTTAATGTATTATAACAAGCTAAATTTCATACCTTAAAGAGGCCCGGCATGGCCAGGTGGATAAGGCGCTCGACTCACAATCTGAGGGTCGCGGGTTCGAATCCGCATCCCACCAAACATGCTCGCCCTTTCAGCCGTGGGGGCGTTATAATGTGACGGTCAATCCCACTATTCGCTGGTAAAAGAGTAGCCCA